GCCTGCAGTACTGCACCCTAACCACTGCGCCACCTCGGCTCTTGCACATTTTTAAGGCAATATGTAAAAAGATAGTGTTGTATATCATTACATGAGAAATAAGCATCAAAAATTAACAAATACTTAGATGAAATAAAATAAAAACTTCACTTTACCTGTACTGTTGAGAAAAAAAGGGCAAAAACACACAAAATAACTACGGAAGTTAAAGTAAGACCACAAAGGGCTGTGCACAGAGCAAGAGCTACCACATGGCTAATGTATCGCCTTTTGGTTCAGCTGGAAAGTGTAGAGAGTCATGAGGCGACCAACACCAGCAAGTTCTACCTTGTCCGTTGAGTACCAATCAATGAGTTACAGGGACAAAACCTTCTTTTCAAAATGCACTGAGTGCCAAATTCAATGAGTTTTTATTTATTTATTTATTTATTTATTTATTTATTTATTTATTTATTTATTTATTTATTTATTCGTTCATTCGTTCATGTGTTTATTTATTTATTTATTTATTTATAAAATTTATTTATTAATAAAATTTATATGCCGCCCAATCCCGAAGGACTCTGGGCAACTTACAAAAATAAAGAGAAAAAAAAGACACAGTTTCAAAGCAATCAAGTACCAAAGTATGACCATAAGCCGTAATAATGCTAATAAAAATTTGAAGTTGACAAGAAGCATGTCCAGAAGAAGATATCAGGTTTTTTTTATTACGTAGAGAGCAGCTTGATTTTAATTGGTCTTTGAAATAAATTTGTGAAAGTTCAGAATTGTATTAATTCAGACACGGCTGCCTCCACTCAATCCCTAGGAAAGGAAAATCCTTGACTCCATGTTTAGAAAAAAGGTACTTTTACTAGGAATTAGGAATGAACTGAATGCAACAATGGTCAGGCAAGATCTGAAGCAAAATTCGTGCGAAGCAAATCCCAGAGCCCAACTCCCCAGTAGCCAAGCAACCGGAGTTCAAACAAAGCCCAAGAAGATGTTTTGGGAAAGTATTTTCAGAGTCACCAGGTGAGAGATGCCTTAGTAGAGATTTGGATGAAAATCAAAATAATTTTTTATACAAAAATTCCTAGGTGGATATCAAGCATGGTAGCAATGATTTATCCCAACGTAATAGATTTGAACAGGATAGTGACCTACAAAGAGTTATTGGATGAGAAAGAGAAACTAAAATCAAATCAAGAGTTAAAATTGCAGGGAATTGAAATAGACTGGTGGCCATAGATACAGATTCAAACAAGATACAAAGAGGATTTGGAACAATACGGGTTTCAAAATGAGCAGCAAGAATTGGATAAAATAGTAACAGGGGCGGAAGAAAAAAATGTTTACTAAAATGCCTTTTAAAATTCAAAATGGAGGAGGAAACTGAAGGAAACCATGGTAATCAGGGCTAAACATTTTGAGTACAACATTGAATTGGCGCATTGGGAAAAATTGTGGGGGGGAAATTATAAATTGACCATGTCAGCTACATACAAGGGGAATATCTACAAAATGTTTTATAGGTGGCATTTACACCTGGCGAGATTGACCAAAATGTTCCCCAATAGACCCCCCAAATTGCTGGAAATGCAACCATCAACAAGGGACCTTCTACCACATGTGGTGGGCATGTCCCAAAGCTAGGGAGTACTGGGAAAAAGTCCAAAAATGGTTGGAGGAAACAACAGAACAAAAAATGCATATGAAGCCAGAGCTGTTCCTTCTGGGAATAACAAAAGGAAATACAAGTAAAGAAATTCAATATATTATTCTCCACATTATTATCACTGCCAGAATCACATTTGCCCAAAATTGGAAACAAGAAAATGTCCCCTCAAATGCAGAGATCATAAAAAAGGTGCTAGAACAGTGTTTCTCAACCTTTTCGCTGGCTGGGGAATTCTGGGACTTGAAGTCCNGAGTCCAAGGCAGAGCTATCCTTAAAGTTCCAATTTAATAACTCAGACATGTTGGCACATCTGTGGAAAATCTCAATTCTGAAAACTTCCTGGGATTCCACCCAGTTGAAAGTTCATGATCTTATCCCCACACCCATAAATCCATCACATGGTCCAATCTTTTTTGGCCACGCTGGCATCTCCACTCAGATGATTCCGGTCAGGTGCAGAGATGTGGAGACAAAAGATGACCTTGGACTTCTAGAAAAGAATGACAACAACACATTCCACAATTCTACTCCTTTCTATTCCCCCCTCCCAACTACTACATTAAAGAAACAGCACAGTGAAATAAAAGAGAGTGTGGCAGGCCAAAGATCCTAAAAAGAACATAACTGCAGGCCTGACACATTACCAGTGCAAAGAATTTGACAGCATGCTTGCATTTTCTGAATTAAAACTTTTTAATTTTGTGCTTTTGAGCACTGGAAATATGTTAAAATGAAAGTGGGTTTTGAAGAGGAAATCAATAGTTAACTTCAAAATATCCCTAAATGCAATTTTATGCTATTTGAGAGCTTTTGGATTGTATAAGTATGAATAATACAACTACCAGATGTACTTCTATTGGGTATTACAAGATGATTTTGAATGGATTTCCCTTGGAGACTTTCCCTAGAATGAATTGGTGATACCATTTATTTAATAATAAACATGTATCACCCCAATCAACATATTCTGGGTAGTCCCAATACAAAACAGAATCATGACTAACTCAAGCTCTTACATTCAGATATCAAATCTAATAAGAACAATCCAGTTATCTTTGCAGCCGCCGCCTCTCTGTTGCATTCCAATATGCCTCATGTTCTGCAAATAAAATTAGGGGGAACCCTATATGTTTCCATGGTTCTCGGAAGAAAGGTAAAATATACCATGGTACCTTGGTACTTTTCATTACCGGTAATCGGTTCCGAGAGGTGTGACAAGTACCAAATTTTTCCCATAAGGAATAATATAAATAAATTTAATGCATTCCCAGAGGCAATAGCAATAGCAGTTAGACTTATATACCGCTTCATAGGGCTTTCAGCCCTCTCTAAGCNATGAATGAAACTCTTGTCTTCCTCAACTTTATTTGGAAATGCAGGTGCTTATAAATTTACTTCAACTGCGACCTTAAGTACAGCATTGGAAACCATGCTTAATGTTGGAAAGATCTCTGAATCTAATGTGAAAATAATTATTTTGGCTTTGTGGTAAGCTGTGAATAAAAAAAAAATCTCCAGTCCTTCAGCTAAAAATGTTAGGTTTCAGAAAAATGGTCTTTTGAGCTCTTTAGAAAAAAAATTGTAGGATATAGAGGTAAGTAATGATTTTAAGAAGAGTTTAATATCTGATGTTCTCAGTAAAGTAAAAAATTAAAAATAAAGGTTTCCCTGTCTGTCGTGTTTGAGTCTAGGTCATGGTGCTTATCTTGTCCACTAGAAAAAGGATTTCTAGTTAAAATGTTCAGCAATAGGAAAATGGATTAAGGGTGAAGGTTGTGGGTTCAAGAGTTGCAAGGCTGATGGTAGCATATACACTGGAAAGTTACAAGGAGGGGATTGTCAACTATTAGCATTTGTGGATGATCTTTGTTTCATTTCAAAGGATGTACCACAATAAAAAGGATTCCTAGGTATTTGAAGGAAATTATGAGTGGGGGTCTTCAAATACAGGTTTCTGAGGAATATTAAGGTTATTTGATTTTTGTCTCTTCCAGTCATGAAGGGAG